CTCAGAAACCACAGCTCCTGCCGTTTTGGCAGTTGGTTGACGCTCCAGTGCAGCCATTTTGAGACAGTCCAACCACTGGAGGCCACAGCAGTCGGCGTGCATCGACAGATGGTACAACTGCCACATTTTGAAAAAGCCTCTGCTGCCGGCCTTGTTCGGAAAGTGCAGCTTCAGATTTAAGACGGAGAGGCTGCCTCGGGCTCAGCACCGGCTGTGTGTTTGGATTGAGTTTTACTGTGGGGCATCCGAGCTCTGAAAACAGGAAGCGCTACGTTGTAGGCCCTTGCTGGGGTGGGGTTCGTCGCACGAAGCCTGCCATGATCTGCCATGTGCATGTGCTGATGTCAGACTGGATGTCTCAAAGACGGAGCCACATTCTGCATCGCACCTGTTGTCGCCGTTGGCGAGAAGGACATTGTGTGTCAGTGCTTCGTTTACAGTTTATCACTGCAGCCCGTGCAGACATGTGCAGACTCTTGTGTGCGTGGCGGCTCTGGTTGCCACTCATGCTGTTCTTTGTTTGGCTGCTACGTACTTCGCTTGCGCTGCTCACATTGAACACATCTACGCCTCGCACATTCGTCCATGCATATACTTCGTTGATCTAGGTTAAGTTAAGTTAATGCCTAGAATGAAGAGGAAGAGGTGTTGCTTAGAGGCCTGTGCTTTGAAGCTATGTACACGTTGTCTTGCACATTCTTGCATCTAGTTTAGTCGTGTCGCATTGTGTGCATGGAAGTATCACTACACGCACGGGTAGGCTACATGTTTTGGGCATGAATGTGCTACGGCCATATCTCCATATTTAGAATGCGGTATCTACAGATCTTTGCCGCACTTACAGTATGCACAAACATGCGGTGTATGCTAGCAGATGCCTGTCTCTGTACCAAAGACCTTTGAGTCATACGAAATCCGTATGTGACAAGCAGAATCAACCCATGCCACATGCACGTATGTGTGGATGCATGTAAGTGTGTATGCTTGTAGACATATTTGCATGTATGCATGCATGCATGTCATGCATGTATGTTTGTACGTCTGTATGAATTTCTGTATGTAGGTGTCTGTGGTCGGTTTGCGTGTCTGCCTGTCTGTCGGTCTGTCGGTTTGCCTGCCTGCCTGCCTGCCTGCCTGCCTGCCTGCCTGCCTGCCTGCCTGTCTGTCTGTCTGTCTGTCTGTCTGTCTGTCTGTCTCAGTTCTGTCAGTTCTGTGCGTCCGTCCAGTCCGTCCTAGGTGCGTGCGTGAGTTGTGTAGGTATGTAGGTATGTCTGTAGATATTAATGTATATCTGCGGTGCATGTTTGCGTGCGTCTGTCTATATTCGGCCATGAGTAGGATGGCCTGCGGATCCCGGCAAACATGTCCCAGTACGATCTCTTCATGGTCGGCCGGGCTCTAAGAACTTGATACCATCAGAGTGATCATCGGAGGTGCTGCAGTGTGCGGTTGGGCAAGCAAACTGGTAGTCTTCGTAGTCACACAACTGTAGCTGGCTGGTGCTACCATCACTTAAAATGCTGTCAACACCGCCTGTGCCTGACAACCCGTGTCTCCAAGCTTTGCACTTCAAAGGCGTCGACTGCTGCGAATGTCCCGGGGAGTTCCGCTGTCCGCCCGTCAGCTTCGTATGACATTCTTCCACCCTAATTCTGGACACCAAAGAAACGCCGCCCCGGCGCGTCTCCACCAGTCTCTACTAGTAAATCGTGAGAGTGCAGCTGCTCAACCGGATCACAATGCGAATCTGTTCCGAGCTGTGCAGCAGGCCCTTTAACATCGTCTGCAAGTATGAACTAAGTCATAAGGTTTGCAATTATGTGAACACCGTATGTAGCTGATCTAACGAGTCAATCGCTTTTGCTAAGACTCCAATCATGTGGCGCATGTGGTCGTACTGTCAAGGCAAGGACGTTGCCTTTTTAAAATGCAGGTATGCATGCGCTTAAACAGTAGTATATATATATATATATAATATGTATAAACAATCACAAGCTGTTTCGTGTTGCATGTGACTGCTCCATGCAGTTATTGCGCTTTGTATTGATTATAGCAGTGTTAGCCGCCATGGATCTAGACAACTGGGATGTCGCGACCGTGGGCCGCTGGCTGGAAAATGCTGGCTACGGTGGTCCCTCGGATTCCGATTACGGGAGTCGCCCCTGTGCTGAGAATTTTCTGGATCGTGAGAACAACGATCAACAAGTGTTGTCGGCCATGGGTTACATTCGCTTGTAGACCTGGCCAACAGGTACTGGCCTTCAAACACAAAGATCGCAAGTTCCTGGAATCAGAATTTGTGAAAGTGAGCTACCTCGTTAAGGCTTGGTCGAGAAGTTCCAACGCGAACTCATCGACGGCCAAGCTATTCAGCGCCTTTCGGTGTCGGACTTGCTGCCTGACTCATCTTAGTGTTCGTGGCTTTCTTGTTTTTGGTTCGCGGCCGGGCTATGTTTGTTTCTCTCTCTCGCTCTCTCTCTGTCTGTCTCTCTCACACTCATACACTTGCATAATCTTGTGTAGATGGGTTGAAAAGCTTACACCTTTCTGTGTGCTTGTTTGCACCGGTGCAAATCTCTCTCCGCACATTTGGGTGCATGCACAGGCATAGATCTGAGCCGTGTATGTCAACCTAGGCGTCACTATGCAGGTATGTACGTCTGTAGGTGAGCTCGTGTGCATGTGTGTACGTATGTGTCCGTATGGGTCGCTACGCACCAGCATGCCGTGTACGGCTTCACACACGTTGTGCCTGCATGCACGCATGCATACATGATATGCAGGTGTGTGTGTGTGTGTGTCTCTTCACCTGCCAGTCCACATCCGGTTCAAGAGGAAGTAGAGTGCCTCGCTTGTTCCGGAGTGCAGATACGATGCCACGACACTGCATCCTGAATATCGCTCTCGTTGCATCTCCCTGCTCCGCGCTCTGTGTCCATCTGAAGCGCGACTGTGAGCCGAGGAGGCAGATCGACATCCCGCTGGGCCAAGCCACTCGAAGGTTCGCAAAGTTAGGATGATGATAATATGATGATGATAATGATGATGATGATGATGACGATGTTGAAGAAGAAGAGCTTCGGATAAAAAACTTCTCTCTCGCTCTATGGCTGCTCATTGGCTTCAGTCTGCTGCGTGCTAGCAATGCTGATGCAGAAGGCAGGCATTATAAAGAGGCGACAGGCTCTGCAAGAATCGAACAATCGCCGTCGCTCCTTGACTGGACACTGTTGCCTACGATCACTCACACTGTCCGTAAATTTCGGTTGTATATATATATATACACACATATATCTATATGGAGACGTTTTCAGAGGTAAAGGGATCCCGACCCAGGCGAAGAACTTGTTAGCTGCTGTCGCAGAGCTGCGGAGCTGCTCGGACGCATATCGCTATGAGACGAATCATACTGTGGTCGTGATAGCGCGGTAAGATTGCAGCGTGGAATTCCCTCGCAAGATGTGACCAACTGTTCCAACCAGCACATGATACATAATTAACAGTCACAAGCAAGTTCTCGCAGCAATCCTGGCCTGACAATGCACTGCACAAATCTTCACCCCATTGGCCCCTGCCAACTCTGGCTTGCGAGGCATGCAACGAGGAGCCCAGCGACATGCCACGTGGTCCACAGGCGACCCACCGCCACCGCCGCCGCCGCCGCCAGGAGCGAGCAGCTCGAGGGCTAATGGGGGGATCAAATAATTGAATGTGCAAAATAGCGACCTTGTGTATGAGTGCTTAGGTTCGAACAAGCTTCGCTAGAACACTTGACTCGGAAGTATTCAAGGCGGCAGCGGCTTGCTGTGCGTGAGCGTCCACTTTCAAGGCTGCGGCAGGGGCATCTCTAGTCTCGAGTCTCCTCATGTCAGGACCGGCACCGCCTGCCGCACCACCTGCCACGGAGGCATCTGGGAAAACCGTGGACGGTTCGGGGACAGGTATGGGGCTGAGTTTTCGGCGCTGCCATGCATTCGGAAAGGGCTAGACGGGACTCCGTTTTGAGTGCTCGGGGAGAGCCGAAAAGGAGTCTGCCGGTACCGCGGAAGAGTATGGCCGAAGGCTCTCTGAGTCTTCCAGATCTACAGCCGTTTCCGACCGCGGTCGAGTTAGCTCTAGTTAGGCTTGCTGGGTGCAATCGCTGTAGGAGCTTGACTGCTTTTTGATTGTTCAGCCCAGCGCTGTGTTCGGGATGAGGCCCTGAACCGCTCCTGGTTTGTCAGCCAGGCTTGCAAGGTCGTCTTGCTGATGGGACCTCCTGGCAGCGGGAAGTTTCCTGGCAGCAGCCACCGTGGCAGCCCGACCTGGGGTTGTCATGCGAACTTATCTTGATCAGTTGTATAAGCTTTTGCGGACGAACACGCAAGAGCTCGCAGAGAAGCACGACTCCGCAGTTCATCGCTAGTGTCAGGAGTCGGGCTCAGATCTCCGTAGACGCGGAGCTCAAGCTTACGTGTTGCTGTAGGGCTTTCCCGCGTCGTCCAGCTAAACTTTGCATCTATACATTTCATGTACGTATATACCACTTTCCTCAACCAGAATCGCCCCCCCCCCCCCCCCCCCAAAGTAAAAGGCTAGGTTCCCTCCCACTGTAATCTGAGGTCTACCCTCGGAGATGCGCTGGCGAACAGGTTCAGTGTGGCATGATGGGGGCTGAGAGTTCGGTATTCAGCCGCGTTTTCTACTGGCGTCATAGGTAAAGGCCCGCCGAAAGAAAGGTTTGGTCTCGAAAGGAGGGTGGCAGAAAGGATGTTCGGTGTTGTGTGCGCACACCTGTGCAAGATGGTTCCTGCCAGCCACGCAGAAGCGTGCACACCCGCACCTCGAACATCCGACCTCAAAGTGGACCACGCAAGACTTGGATAGATGAAGAAACCCAAGATTTCATCGGCATGGAAAGGGTCTCGCCTCTCAACAAGACCGCCAAGTCGGCTTCCGTCAGACATTAGAATTCACAGCGTGTGAGGTTCCACGGTGTACATATCGATCTTGGGCGCACAATGCGCAGTGACCCAGATGAGATCAAATCTCCTCAGGCACTGCAGGGTGGGCTCCCATGGCTTCTTCTGTAGAGCTGCGATGGCTTGAGCTTTACAGGTAGTCTCAGAGACCGACTTCTGAAGGCGGCTCCCGAGAATCTGACTTCCTCTTCTCAGTCATTTCGGGATCTCCTAAGCCAGCTGATGGTCGTAGCAGCGTTCAGCAGCATCCACGCCCCTTCGAAGCTCGGTTTCTGCACTTGCAGGCTATGATGATGAATGCCATTCTGGCCGAGATGGAGGCCAGGTCCAGCATTTCTTCTCGACGCATTCCGGCTTATCCACGCTCGTCCTGCGGACTGAAATCCGACACGGTTGCAATCCATTGCTATGCTTTTCTGGTGTTGCGGCAGGTAGAAGCGCACACAAATCCTTCGCTTCTGGTCCTGCCAGAAACATCGACGACCTCTGATGAACTCTATGTAGAACCCCCGCCCCCTCACCCTCTCACGCACGCACACACACACACACACACACACACCTACCTTCCTGCATAGACTCAGACACATACATGCATACATACATACAGTACATGCGTACATGCATGCATACATTCATATGTACAGAAAGACAAGTGCACAATGCATGTCGTGTTTTCATCCCAAAGCTTTCGCGGAGAGGTAGGCCAGCAGAAGCTGGAAGCTGGCGACGGACCGCACCTCGTGTTTGTCAACGGCTTCCCGCGCACCGCGGTAGATTTTCTATAGGACCCAGCTTGCGAAACAGATTTGCCTGCAAGCTGGAAGATAAGGCCACTTTGTCTTTGTCGTTCACGGCACTTCATGGTTTTGTTGGGATGGCTAGCGGTCGATTGTTTCAGCCCATGTCTGTGTCGTCTCTGCAGTGATCCGTCGAGGCGATTTCATCGAACAGGTGTAGTTTTTTGTTTGACAGTGTTTAATGCGCGATGTGCTTTTCGTGTTATGAGGGAGACAGCACCATCACGCTGCAATCAGGTAAAGATGATGGCTACCACTTCTGGAATGGCCTGGATGCAGTTCCCAAGCACCCTGGTGAGCTTTCAGGCTTACTGTGCAAATGAAGCTCACGGGAATGTTGCTATGAAGTTGAAGATATGTGCAACGCAGGATTTGAGTAGCCTCACTGCTTCATGCTCCGGAAGACTTCAGAGAGCCAACAAGACGCGACTGCGAGGCAGCCCACTGCTTCCCACAGCGAAGTAAGCAGCTACAGCGAGCAGTTTGCTGGTAGAAGCCACCTTAGAGGCCTTCGCTCTGCCTCGTGCTGGAAGCACCGGATGACGTGCTCCGGGCACGTGCGGAACAGCGTAGCCGGGCGCCACACGACCTCGAGGAGTTGTCCGATCACGCTGCACATTTGGGAGGTCTTTCCGTGAGAATATGACTGACTATTAGGGACAGGTCCTGTTTTCTACATCGGCATCGTCATAACATGTCAGAAGTAAGTCATCTATCAGCCCTGAATCCGGGAAACAGTCTGACATCAGAAGCTTCACCTTGCTGGACTCCAGGAGAAGTTCGACGACAGACTGGATTATTTCCGAAAGGAGACAGCCAAGGCACACAGCTGACGTGTAGGATCCATATATACACACCTCGAGGCTCAGAAATCGAGGTGCTGAATGGGTGTCGATGATTGCAGAGCGCGTGTACTCGTGCGCTTTGTGTGTGTGTGTGTTTGTGTGTTTCTGCATGCATGTGTGGGAGTTTGCTGGAGTCCGCCTGCACGACAGAGCTTATCACGAATGTCACCGGGAGGGGGCGGAGGGGTAGGTGGGGCGTGTGAGTCGGCGTGTGAAGACGCTTCTTTGATTGCTCATTGTGGTGTCAACATGCCTGCTGCAAGTAATGTCGCACTTGGCATGAACGGTGGGCGGTTGGGGTCCAGCTCGAAGCATGTTAATTGCAGGTCGTCAACAACTTCCATGACACCGGCCGCACACGCTATATCGATGCCACTGGCTCACCATCCCTTATGGAGAGCGCGGCAGCGCGGCACATGCAACTGGGGTGGATTCAGTGGGGGACACACTGGGGATCTGTGATGAGACTGGGCGATGCCTAGGCCTAAGACTTCCTACGACTTGTTGGTGGTGGGAGCACACACTTGCGGATGCATGCGTGCGTAATGTATAGTCTCACCTTGAATTCATAAATACGCCCCATGTATGTACAGATCTATCTATCTCCCTCTGTATATAAGTATGTATGTGTGTGTATATATATATATATACATACTATACATATGCATACACACGCAGAGTATGTCAAGCCCAAAGTCGAAGTTGTCGTTGCCTTCCGAGGAGGCCCACTTTGGTCTTCGCTTGCGGGAAGCCTGAACTGTTGGAGGCTGCCGCCACCAAGCTTTTGCTTTGCCTTAGAGGATGTCTAGCTGCGCAGATACTCCAGCAATCGCCGGGGCCGGGGCCGAACAAAAACTGTGGAAAGAGTATCCCCTTTGTATACTACATGACTGTGCCCCAAAGCCCTACTGTAGCCACCAAACCGCCAGGCACTGTCTGGGAGCCTTGCGGAGCCACGGCTTCGTTTCTCGGAGATTTGCCTTCCTTCTGCGACATCCGAGCAGGCAGAGCTGAGACGGCGAGCTTCATAGTCTCTGATGAAAGGACATACCTATAGTCTCCATTGCAGTT